GCCCCTTTTTTGGCCCCCAATTCCTAAATGTTTCGGCAATTACCCCCAAACTCAAACCCAGCTTTCCCTTTGTGATATGGAACCTTGTAGTACAATTTCAGAAACATCCATACACTTACACACAAGTTATTGTCATGAAACTAGAAAAATGCTTGTTTTTTTGCCCCTTTTTTGGCCCCTAATTCCTAAAATATTGAGGCAATTACCCCCATCATCAATCCCAGCCTTCCCTTTGTGGTATGGTACCTTGCAGTACAATTTCAGAGAGATCCATACACTTGAACACAAGTTATTGTCTGGAAACTAGAAAAATGCTTATTTTTGGCCCCTTTTTTGGCCCCCAATTCCTAAACATTTCGGCAATTACCCCCAAACTCAATTCCAGCTTTCCCTTTGTGATATGGAACCTTGTAGTACAATTTCAGAAACATCCATACACTTACACACAAGTTATTGTCATGAAACTAGAAAAATGCTTGTTTTTTGCCCCTTTTTTGGCCCCTAATTCCTAAAATTTTGAGACAATTACCCCCAAAATCAATCCCAGCATTCCTTTTGTGATATGGAACCTTGTGGTACAATGTCAGAGATATCCATACACTAATACACAAGTTATGTCTGGAAGTTACAAAAATGCTTATTTTTGGCCCCTTTTTGGCCCCTAATTCCTTTACTGTTGGTACCAAAACCCCCAAAATTAATCCCAACCTTCCTTTTGTGGTATTGAACCTTGTGGTAAAATTTCATAGTGATCCATTCACTTAAACTAAAGTTAGAGTGCGAAAACCAATGTGTCTTTGGACGACGCCGAACGACGCCAGACGACGACAACAACGACGACACCGACGCCAACGTCATACCAATATACGACCACAAAAATTTTTTTGCGGTCGTATAAAAATTAGTACGTCCTGGCATGATGCATAAATGGCAAACTGAATAACTTTGACAATCTTAAGTCATGTTTTAGAAAATTTAAAATTTCAATTCAAATAGGTTGACATTCATTTATTCCAATTACTCTGTTAGGCTAATTTTTTAAGGATACCTTGAAGAGATTTCCTTTATTAAAATCCAATATTTCCTACCCCTCCTCCCCCTCCCAAAAATTACAGTAATGGTCATAAAGAACTTTATTAATAAATACAACAAGTACTTATTGTTCATGCTTTGAATTACAACAGTAGGAACTAACAGTCAAGGTGTGCAAGTTAGACAAAACATTGAACTGTAATCCTAAATGTACTCACTGTCTCTATAATCTGAGGGGTTTTGTAGAATTTTTATATAGATATAAGAAGATGTGGTATGAGTGCCAATGAGACAACTCTCCATCCAAATCAAAATTTATAAAAGTAAACCATTATAGGTCAAAGTACGGTCTTCAACACGGAACCTTGGCTCACACCGAACAGTAAGCTATAAAGGGCCCCAAAAAATTACTAGTGTAAAACCATTCAAACGGGAAAACCAACGGTCTAATGTACATTTATTTATTTTTTGGCTTTACATCAGACCTTCTCTCTCCCTCCCCCCCTCAAAAAGAACAGGTTCCAGAATGAAAACTTCTTCAACAACTCAATTATCTTGTTGAACAGTCTTTCAGGCTTTGCAATGTGAATGTGGCATATATGTCAATGAGTAAACAATACAACATAAAAATAGACTTCTAGAGGGAAACATAAAAGTCATACCATAAAATTGTCACAAATTACAAAAGATTTATATTTTCTATTAGCTTTACAAATGTGGTACTGTCAAGTGGACATTATCTTCAGTGGTTTATCTTAAGAAAAAACCTCGAAAAATATTTCATTTCCTAAATTTGATCTTTACAGTAAATCAACTAGGGGGCAAGAAAAACCCAAAATAGAACCTTACGAACAGGTATAGCACTGGAAACTGCAATATTTAAACTCTTAGAAAAACAAACCACTTATTAAAGCAAAAATGTACATGTATTATCTTTAAACATGCATGTAAATGTACACACATCTGACATGTATATTCTAAAACAAATTATATGTGAAAATATATTTTTCCCTATCAAATTAATACACTCATATGTAAATCAATTCAATAATAATGAACACAAAAGCATAGAAAATTAATAGTAGACAAACGTCTCCAAGCGTTTATTATTATGCCTTAATAATAGGATTTGACAAGTACCGACAAATTCTACAAATAATTGCATTGGCCTTGTTCCACCAAATGTTTGGCATGATGTAGTGAAAGAAACAACTGTGAAAACTCCTGTGAAGTGAAGATTGTAATGAACAATAGAGTACTGTAACAATACTTGATTGAACCATAATAACATCACACATGTTACAGACTCAGGCTTCAGGTGGGAGAGACAGTTGTTGTTTCATCAAAATCCTATCATTCAATACTCAGTTTTTGTATAAAAAATTGGCAACATCAACACAAAATATGTCTTTTTTTACTTTGGATATCAACCTGAACAGTAAACTATTATAATTCAAATAAAGGCTAGATGGAAAAAATTATGGTTTTTATACTGTATTTCAGTGTGTGTGGACATCAGTTATATTAAGTTATATCTCGTTCAACAACAAAAAATTACCCTTTTCTATGTCATTGATTCCGTCATCCAGCTTCCCTTTTGAAGCCAATGAGCTAGTTAGTCTATAGGTATTCAGTTAAAACTTTCTTATGCATAAATTAAATTGTCAAAAAAGATCCTTATTAAGACAAACAAATTTACACATATTTATATCATGTTTATAAACCAAAACAACCTTGATTTTTTTGAAAAATTTGGCCATGAATTCTAGGAAACATTTGTTTACTCAACATTTTAGTGAAGGTACATATTTACTTGTGTAATAGAACATAATATGAATATTTTAGTTTAGACACAGTTCTATGTTTTCAGTCTAATTAAAACACAATTCTGTGTCCACACTTCCCTAAGATGGATCTGACAATGGTCTGTCATATTTTCTGTTTTGAAGACCTTTTCTGAATCCTCAGGTTTTGATATAATGATAGACTCGGTAACACACCTTCACATTTTTTACCAAAGCATGCACACAGATCTGTACCTCAATCAGCAGTGTATTAGAATAAATAAGGTTTACATTTGTATATGAAATTTTAATAACAACATGAAAATACATTATAATTTTGTTTTGTTACATTCAAACTTGCATCAGAATAAATGAGGTATATATTTGTATATGAAATTTTCTTAACATATTCTGTACAGTGTATCATAATCATTGAAAATACATTGAAATTTTGTTTTGTTACATTATACTTGAATGACTATTTCCACAATAAACCTGAGGTTATAAATGATCAAAATACTGTAATTTATTCTTAATATCAAATAACTAAATTACAAATGAAATTTGACTTGGAAATCAATAACACAGAGTTTCCCCACCTCATGGCCCAACCTTAAATCATTTAATATTATTACATTTCCATTACAGAGAAAAATCTTTAACATATGTTATACTGATTATTGCTATGAGCAATGTCATGGTAAAGGTCAGATAGATTTTCTCGTAAGAAGCTTACAATGGAAAAGCTAAATTAGGTTTCAGAACATGCCCTTGCATTTCCTTGAAGAATCAAAGTAAATATATATATTTGTAGTTGGTGAAAAGAATAATAGCTTGAAATAAGCATAGAATGCATTAGCTAAGAATTTTGCACTTAATTTATTAACATTCTACAGTATGGAACATTTGTTGTCAAGCAAAGAAAACTAATCAAAGCAATAATATCATGTTGTTCTTACATAATCTTTAAATATCTAAGGATAACAAGATGCAGTATAAGATAATTTATAACCATGTTCTTGCTTTTAAGAGAAAGGAATTATATGTACTAAACAATGTGGCAGTAGAAAATCAAAAGTAAACAGATTGAAGGGTAACGGGGTAGCCTTATGGAGCTACATATATGGTGAATGCATAGACCTTTTACAAGTCAATCTCCTTACATTTCCTTGGTGTTATGTGTTAAAGTTAAATCACCCGATTATAGGATTTCGGTACTGTAGATGCAACAGGTAACAGATAACAAAGATCAAAATCTGCTGTACACAATTGTAAAATCCATTGTATTGCACTGGTAATCAGAGGGGCCTTTGTATTGCACTGGCAATCAGAGGGGCCATTGTTTTGCACTGGCAATCAGAGGGGCTATTGTTTTGCACTGGCAATCAGAGGGGCCATTGTATTGCACTGGCAATCAGAGGGGCCATTGTATTGCACTGGCAATCAGAGGGGCCATTGTATTGCACTGGCAATCAGAGGGGCAGACTAAAAATATGGTGTACAGGATTGTAAAATCCAATGTATTGCACTGACAATCAGAGGGGCAGACTAAAAATATGGTGTACAGGATTGTAAAATCCAATGCATTGCACTGACAATCAGAGGGGTAGACTAAAAATATGGTGTACAGGATTGTAAAATCCAATGTATTGCACTGACAATCAGAGGGGCAGACTAAAAATATGGTGTACAGGATATAGCAAAAAAATTTGTTTTTAATAAAAATTGGGGAAAACACACTGTGGATTAATCTATTTTCGTGGGTACCAATTTTCACGGACTAAGACAAAATTGTATTTTCATGGATATTTGATTTCATGGTTTCACAAAAGTCTGCATACAAGCCTAAAGAAAATTTGTACTTAGCTGAACATTTAAATTCGTGGTTCACCTGTATCCATGAACTTGAAAGTTGGTATCTCACAAATAACGATGAATCCACAGTATCCTATAGTATCTGGTTTAATGATAACTGGTAATAGTGTGTGTTGTATACTCTGTCTGAATTAGACAAGTTTTTGATGACTTAGGATATAAAATAAAAAGTTTCTGCTCTATTCTGGGTTAAAGTTAGATCGGCTCTTTGTAAAATTTTGAACACATTAGGACTGAGGACAGCTGTATCTCTTGTAAATTTCTATCTAAAATGTATTTTGTCCTTTGATATAAATGTCCATAACTTACCTGGTATGGGTTAACTGGTTTTCCTTGAACTTTGACATCAGGTCGTCCAATAAATGAGATGTTCAAAATCATATCACTTCCAACTTTTGAGCATTTAAAACATATCTGAAATTTGTACAAATATTTTAAACTGATGGAGTCAAATAGTTGAATTGGTTCAGCAGGGTAATGATCTCTACCTACTGTATACCTTTTTTTTGTTACAGCTAAATATATTTGCATAAACATATTTCATACTTGCTGAAAAAACGTAAAAATAAGTGACTTTAAAGATACTTAGATGTATCCATAGCAATCTCTAGTGCACTTGCTTTACAGTATCCATAGCAATCTCTAGTGCACTTGCTTTACAGTATAAATTGAACCAAAAAATGCAATTTAAAATTCTGAAATGGTCAGAACTGCTGTGGGGTGTTTTAATAAAAAAATATTTGATGACAAAACCTGTAATAACAATACCATTACATTTGCAATAAACGAAAACAAGTTGTAGAATTTTGTTGATTTTAATCTGTTTAAACCTAAAATTGAATGTAAGCCAAACAAGTTTCAGAGTTAAGATATTCTGTATCATTGAGATTCACCCCATATATCCTTGAGTATACAATGTATAGAAAGGCACAGTAAAATGCAGGATACTAATGTGTGCATGTATGTATATATATGTGTTTGTATAAATATATGTAGGAGATAAGACTGTTTAAATCCTCACGATCACTTTCAAATTGAGCTTTAGGGAGCTACCATTTGATTTTTATGGGGCTAGGATGAAAAATTTTGTCCTGCATTTTTTTTTAGTTGTAATCTCTGTCCTGCCTTTTTATTTTTCACTCTATTTGGTCCTGCCTTTTTATTTTTCACTCTATTTGGTCCTGCCTTTTTATTTTTCACTCTATTTGGTCCTGCCTTTTTTTTATCAGTTTATCCTGACTCTTTTTACATAAATTGTCATCCTGCCTTTTTTTTTTGCCAAGTTGCTCATCCTGCCTTTATTTTACTCAAAACTCCTGTCCTGCCTTTTTTTTCAAATTTCATCCTAACCCCCCCTCCCCTCCCCCTCATAAAAATCAAATGGTAGCTCCCTTAGTTCCTTAAATCTGAGATAATCTTCACATGTACAACACAACCAGAACATTGCCACATTCAATGACATAAACTTTCTTTCATCATAATTTTAGTTCTTCTCCAACATTTATTTAAGAACTATACTGTTCTGAAGGCCCCACAAATTTAAAACCTAATTTTTGTGGGAGAGTTGTACTTACTGGTCCTTTGAGCTTGAGTATACAAGCTGTCAAGTTGGTAAGTCTGTGGGAGAGTTGTACTTACTTTTCCTTTGAGCTTGAGTATACTAGCAGTCAAGTTGGTAAGTTTGTGGGAGAGTTGTACTTACTGTTCCTTTGAGCTTGAGTATACAAGCTGTCAAGTTGGTAAGTTTATGGGAGAGTTGTACTTACTGTTCCTTTGAGCTAGAGTATACTAGCAGTCAAGTTGATAAGTTTGTAGGAGAGTTGTGCTTACTGTTCCTTTGAGCTTGAGTATACTAGCAGTCAAGTTGGTAAGTTTGTGGGAGAGTTGTACTTACTTTTCCTTTGAGCTTGAGTATACTAGCAGTCAAGTTCATAAGTTTATGGGAGAGTTGTACTTACTGTTCCTTTGAGCTTGAGTATACAAGCTGTCAAGTTGGTAAGTTTGTGGGAGAGTTGTACTTACTGTTCCTTTGAGCTTGAGTATACTAGCAGTCAAGTTGGTCAGTTTATTGGAGAGTTGTACTTACTTTTCCTTTGAGCTTGAGTATAGAAGCTGTCAAGTTGGTAAGTTTGTGGGAGAGTTGTACTTACTTTTCCTTTGAGCTTGAGTATACAAGCTGTCAAGTTGGTAAGTTTGTGGGAGAGTTGTACTTACTGTTCCTTTGAGCTAGAGTATACTAGCAGTCAAGTTGATAAGTTTGTAGGAGAGTTGTGTTTACTGTTCCTTTAAGCTTGAGTATACTAGCAGTCAAGTTGGTAAGTTTGTGGGAGTTTTGTACTTACTTTTCCTTTGAGCTTGAGTATACTAGCAGTCAAGTTGATAAGTTTATGGGAGAGTTGTACTTACTGTTCCTTTGAGCTTGAGTATACAAGCTGTCAAGTTGGTAAGTTTGTGGGAGAGTTGTACTTACTGTTCCTTTGAGCTTGAGTATACTAGCAGTCAAGTTGGTAAGTTTATGGGAGAGTTGTACTTACTTTTCCTTTGAGCTTGAGTATACAAGCTGTCAAGTTGGTAAGTTTGTGGGAGAGTTGTACTTACTTTTCCTTTGAGCTTGAGTATACAAGCTGTCAAGTTGGTAAGTTTGTAGGAGAGTTGTACTTACTTTTCCTTTGAGCTTGAGTATACTAGCAGTCAAGTTGGTAAGTTTATGGGAGAGTTGTACTTACTGTTCCTTTGAGCTTGAGTATACAAGCTGTCAAGTTGGTAAGTTTGTGGGAGAGTTGTACTTACTGTTCCTTTGAGCCTGAGTATACTAGCTGTCAAGTTGGTAAGTTTGTGGGAGAGTTGTACTTACTGTTACTTTGAGCTTGAGTATACTAGCTGTCAAGTTGGTAAGTTAGTTTGTGGGAGAGTTGTACTTACTGTTCCTTTGAGCTTGAGTATGCTAGCTGTCAAGTTGGTCAGTTTGACTCCTCCGGATGTCTGTTGGGATGCAAATATAGCAAATGATAAATCTTTGGAGTCCACTTTACTGTGAAATAGCTGAAATGGAAAAATATTAAATATCTTAATAACCTGCTGATTATTCAATAATGATTATATCTGTTAAAATATTACTGGCATTGTAAAATTTGAAAGTTGACTACCTACAGGTGATCAATAAAACAAAATTGTAGCATGTTTGTATTTCAAGATCTACACATAAAACTACTACTGGGGGGGGGGGGGGGGGTGTTAATAACCATGACTACCCATGAGGGTCTCGCACAGTTGGCTTTAGACATAAAACAAGCAACCAATATGAAAAGAGATGTAACTCATTGTGATATACTTCTGGTGGAATATCAGGCCCAGTATGTCTCTGAGCCGGTGTGGGAGGTCATTTTGGGATAATGAGGCAAATGGCGCTCTGACTTTAAAAGTAAAACTTCAATCTGAATCTTGACTTAAATAGTATTTTTTTTCTAGTTATGGGCGTGTGTGTATATACATTATAAGTAAACACCATAACAAGTTGAAGGATTTCTCATTTTTAATTAAAATTAATTTAAAGTTTTTAAAAATGATTATAAATAGATGAAAATATTTCCTTTATGAATGAACATAGTACATAAAAAGGATATTAACAGGAAATACAAAAAACATTACACAGTATAACATTCACCCACTACCAACACCCGTCAGACTCCTCAGAAAAAAAAAGACATACATGTACAAAGACAAAACATGATCCAGAAAAAGTAGAGTAATAAATTAATGACATGTGGGTCCTGGTCACCTTTTTTTGTGGACTCAAACAAGTCGCATGATTTAAGTGGTAGATATAAGAGTTTACAACCCTTCACAGTTTTTCTCCAAAATGTACTGTGTTACCATGATGGTTACATAATCCAATCAAATTTCTGACTGGATGCAGAAATGCACATGTACATGTACCTAAGAGAATCCTTCAATACTTTCTCTCTGTATTTATTCACAAATGTAATAAAATATCAAGATCTTATGAAAACTAAACACGCCAGAATCTTAACATGATTGAGTTGAAAATCAGCAACTTGGAACAGGAATTGAAATGCCGAAAAAATTCTAAATACACCAAAAAACTTGATTTTGTGTCTTGCATTTCAAAATATCTATATATATATATATATATATATATATATATATACATGAAGATAATATTTTGAGTTACAAGATTTTGACAAATGTCAATTATGGCTACATGCAACACTTTTTAATTCACTGTTTTTTTAAAATTTAATTACAAGATCTTTTTAGATGTCAAGCTGTAAACATCACCAAAGTCTTCCTAATGAGTCCAATCAAACATCAGTACTATATACATCAACCACAGATAATCAGTGTATAATATGTAACAGCTTAATGGATTCATAACTTAGATTGTAATAGATTGAATGTATATCAACTAAACACTTACCACTTCTTTCTATCTAATCCTTCTAACAATATTTAATTAGTGTGGCATTACTACATGTTCACAAATGTACAACAAGGAGATGGATTTTCTTGATTAAATCACAGATTGATGGTTACATGTTTTTTACATGTAGTAAAAATCCTCAAAAACTTTGCCTTCCTGTCCATTTCAGTTGCAGATCAAGGATTTTGAAAAAAGGGGAGAGTCAAACTAGGTAATGTTAGGAGTGGAAAATGCAAAGCAAGGGGGAAGGCCTGGGCACACACCCCCCCCTCCTGAAATCTGTGTCTACATTTAAGGGTCGCAGCTAAATTTTTTATAATCAATCGAAATCGATATTTTCAAAAGGAATTGGAAGCTGTAAAAATTCTGACCAAGTCCAATATAATTACAAATAAAAACTAGATTTTGTGCCTTGCATTCTATGGAGTTACAAGAAACAGATCATACAGTGTAAACCAAACACTTAATTACCAAACACTTATCCCAAACAGATATCTACTGTTAAACAATGGAGCTCTCTATTACAGAAAACACTGAAAAATAGTCAAATTGCAAATTTGCCAGGATTTTTAATACATCTGTTTCCATGGACACAATTGCTGCTGCATTGAATGGTATAAGAGTTAAAGACATGTAAGATGAATCAAACCAAATTTTCAAATAGATAATAGTGTATTTAGTTGTTATTTCAGACAATCAACATATCTTAACTCTACAATATAATACAGTCAGGGGTAATACTTGTACAAGTAATTTTTATTTACTTGAAGAAGTAAATATTAATATACTTATATAAGCAAATTTGTAAGATACTTATACAAGTGTATTTTATTTACTTGTATAGGTAAATTATTTTATTGGCTTAGTAATGTCCCTTAGACATTCAGATTTTTTACTTATATAAGTAAAAAAGTCATACTCTCTTCTTTCCTTGAATTTCTCAGGACTTGTTTGCTCTAATAGAATTTTTAATTGTCTGTCCTTTGCATATGTCTTTACTAATCATTAAAGTGTAATTTCAAGGACAATGAAAATCTCATTTGTCTGTTATCTTCAGAACACTGCTCATTTACAAGCCCCCAAGGGTTAATTTTTTATGGCCTTGTGCAATTACTTAAGATCTTTGCTGCAATTAGTTTCTTTGTTGAATTAATGAGATGAAACATTGAACTCTAATAAAAAATTATGAGCTAACCTGAGAAAATTGTTAAAGGCATGTTTTTACATCTCAAAACTTGAGAATTTTAGAGATTGTAAAAAAAAATACTTATACAAGTAAATTTTCGAGAAAAATTAAGGGGAGATTATTCAAGCATTATTAGAAAAAATGAACATAACAAAATTTACTTATATAAGTATATTATTATTAACTTGTTCAAGTAAATAAAGATTACTTGTACAAGTAGTACCCCTGACTCTAATATAATGCAAGTAATGAAAATAAAAGAGCAAAAATTACATGCAAGGTGATTCAAAATCACAATTGGCATGATATTTTTGCAGCTTATACTAGTGATTGTGATTGGTTCACTTTGAAATATCTGTATGAAAATTCCATATTTCATGAAAGTACATGTATCCTAAAACAGTGTGTCATCACTCCAAATCACCAGCACTATCTCTGTTTAGTGATGATACTCATCTAAGAGTCACTTTAAAATGAGGTGCAATGTGTGTATTGTACATGTTGTAAGGCCAAAAAAAAATCTCCTGACAGACAAAAAATAGGGTAGGTAGGTAGGTAGGTAGGTAAAACAAACTTTTCTTTTTTATTTAAATATTTTACATAGACTTTTTCATGTTGATTGAGAAAAGTTTTGGACTTTGCTTAACCCAAAACATCTGTACTTAACGGTGGACAACCAAAATTTTCAGTAAATGTGTAAGGGAAGGTATGAAAATTTAGAGTAACCTCAGGTAGGGAGCAGGAAACAGAACTATATCTTTTTTGGCCTAAGGTGACATCAACAGTCTTCAAAAGGGTTCTCACTAGGAATTTTTTTTCAGATGAGTCCAATGTTTCTTCAACTTTGGGTATGCTGAGTCCATATTTCATCCCCAAAATCAATATCAACATTTTCAAAGTTTAAAGTTATCATTAAAGTCTTCTGGTCTAAACAAAATGATGGGATATTCATATTTAGATTGCACATGTTTTTCATTTTTCTTTAATTAAATGATGATTTCTAGGCAGATAGAATCTTATTACAAATTGGGACTTGTCTGTAGAAAATAGTGAGTTCAGTCTAATTTGTATGGGTCCAGGAATCAAGTACCGGTATAAATCTTAATGTGACTGGCTGTCTTACTTTTCTAAAATTGAAATTCAAAACAGGTCCTATGATTTTATTTTCTAAGAAATCTATATAAATCAGAGTGCTGCTACAAACAATGAGACAAACTCACACACCTGGTATAACAGAGTATCACCTGTCTCATGTGATAATTTAAATCTTATAAAGAAAAATATAAATTTTGTTGTAAAACAAGTGTATTTAATTGTCATGATTATCAATTGAGACAGAATATACTCTAACAGTACTATTATACCAAGTGTATGTCAGTTTGTCATCAGGTGAAGTGTCATGTCAGCTTGTCGTCATGTGAAGTGTCATGTCAGAAGAAAGCTTGAGTTATTTGTTAATCTCAGAATTAACTAAAAGTTGAATTTGTTATGATAAATGTTTATAAATGTGTTGTGAAAGGTCTTTACACTCAAACAGCATGTCCAGTGGAGAACATGCAATGAAAACAATGTATGGCACTAGTCCTAAAATACTGCTATATAATGGCAAAAATACAAAAAAATGTATTTGATGTGTAGTTTGCATTGTGTACATGTACAATGTAAATCAGCATTGCACATTTTATATATATGTACAAAAAGTAAGATGACACATTTTGTACCATGTTTTTTCTGTATACAAATATTCGTCTATAAATAAAGCTTTTGAACTTGAACTAACCAAGTGGAGTGACCAAAGTCATATGACAAAAAAGGATCGACAACGCCACTGAGAAAAAGACAAAAAGACAAACAACAGTCACACTCCCCTAAAATAAAAATATGCACAAAACTTGACTCAGAAACATGATCCCAATTGAAAACTTGCACATGTTGCAGTATATATCTACAGGTTTCATAACCAGTTAGAATTGATTGATACCAACTTGAGTTATTAAGTTTCAATATATATATAATAATAAACGATCCTTTGATGAGTTTATTATTACTATTTAAATGAAATAACCAGAGGTGACATCATTGAAAATACATGTACTGACTACAGACATGACAGACTAAAACCATCACAATGAATATAATTTTGTGTATTAATTTTGAGAAAACAGTGGATCACGACAAAAAATTTGCATCATGAATTGCATGACAGATTTTAGATTTCTCTCAAGTCTGAACCATGACAACACATTTATAATTTGGTGATATATGTAAGTTCACTAAGGTGTATACGAATGATTACTTAATTCATTAACTTACATATTTGTTATCTGATCCTGCTTCAAATGTAATTTCATTAAATTTTGGTGGGAGGCTTCCGGGTTTTACTCTCTCAAACTTCAACTGTACTGGACCCTGTAATCAAAAGTTTAAAACTATAATCATTTGATATTAATTGTACATGTACATTTGTACAATTAGTTCTTGTATTATTCTTCAGCAGAAATAACGACAACAAATGTAATACCAATAACAATAATGTAAAAAATATAAAGTATAAAATGAAAATTATACATGCTAGAGGTACTGTGCTCACAAAAAAGGTGCCAAGTACATCCTGAGGTGCAGCCGAAGGGTGTACAGGGTACTGAAGGGTGTTAAAATATCCATATCTAGGGATATGAACGTAGATAACGAATTTATCCCGGGTCTTAGTCTAAATCTGGCGATTTTTAGAGAAATTCGACCACAAAGTGAAACGTGAAAGCAACGTTTTTTCATTTTTTAAATATCTTTTATTGAAATTTGGGAATTTGACATATTTTTAACGGGGTGTAGGGTACTACCTGTGGTAGAACCCTACAGGTAGACAAATATAAGACGTTTTTAAACTAGAGACAGAGAAACTGAAATGGGTCGAATTTGGCACGCAAAGTTGTGAGAGTTACATCATAAACGGTGTGACTTCAACGTGGGTCATTTGCATAGCTAGGTCAGTAGTACCATTCATTGACAATGTGGCTGCATAGTGATGCATTTACTTAAATGAGTGCAAATAATCGATATACAATGTAATAAGATAAAATCGTTAGTGGATTAAATATTTAATTATACAGACATCATGGAAAATCTACAGAATTCGATATTTCATAAGGAACAACTATGGAACTAAGGAAAACGCGCGTGAAATTCCCTGATGTAATGGGTAGCAACGTCCGGGGATATGGGTTTAAGCAACACCCAGGGGCTATGGGTTTTGTAACGACGTGGGTTAACCAATCAAACTCCTAGAAATATACTAAGCCGGGGATAAACATATATAATGTACAATGTACATATATGAAGATAGTGCTGACCATGATTTTGTAGATAGAAATTCTAGCCTCACTTGCAACACATCTTCTGGTGATTGGCAAAAACAATATTAAGCATTACTAAAATCCTTCAAAGCATTATACATGTATTTTACTAGTTCTATATCAAGTCAGGAATAACTCTACATATTTGTAAAGTTGAGCAGTTTGTGACCTTGACATTGCAGACAGACATTCTAACCATATTCTTGACACAATCTCTAGTAGTGGAAACAAACATGCCAAGTATCATTTTTATCCTTCAAGGTATTCAAAAGTTTTGAGTCAGAAACAACTTGGTGTATACAATGTACAATGTATAGGGTGATGTAAAGTTGAACTTTAGATTGTGACCTTGGCTTTCCAGAAAGACATTCCAACCTTTCATGTAATGGCAAACCTTTTGAAATTTGATTGTGGGCAACAATAATACCTAGTTAATTACATTTATATCCTTGAAGTTGAACTTGACAGAATTTTAAAAAATATGTGGTTTTAGGGTCACTTACCTTCCTTAAATTTATAGAGTCAGTAGGTGAGTTTTTTTTTAATTCCCAATCCAGAAATATAGAGTTTTCACAAGGTGAGGTTACAGTACTAGTATTATATATAATCTATTATACCTTTAACCAGAACTCCACCCTTTTGCATTCAAAAAGTAAGGTCAGTCATTTTTTGTCAGTGCTCTAGTCTAAATTAGGGTCAGTCCAGAAACTGTTAACACATTCCTTTTATTTTTGGCCTGAGTCTAGCACAACTTTGTAACGTATTATATATGTCTCTGGTTTTACAAAGTATAAAACAGAAATAATATTTCTACCCATTTCTGTTATGTAAACAAAAGCACAAAAAAATTGCATCAAATACTGGGACCTAATATAAATTAAGATTTTTTATTTAAGCAACAGCCTTTTTTTTAAAACATACAAAAATGCAGAAATAAAATACTTGCATCACTCTTGTTTACCAAAAAACTAACAAAAAATATTTAAATCTTAATATGTCCAGCACTTGAAAGAATTTTTACTAGATCTTGTCATTTTGAATACAAAATATACATATACAGGTAAAAAAATATTAATCTCAAAACCTTTTTCTTTGATTTGACTTCAAATGATTATTTGTTTTTTAGCTTCAGAAAAAAATATTCTAACTATTATTATTGATGAATAGTAACATCTGTGACAACTGGCATCAGCAGTCAATCATTTTATATCAAGGTAATATATTTCCTGTAGAAGAACCTCAGCACATAAGATACACCTTGTATAATGCATGTCTCATAGTACAGGAAATAAGGTAATTAGCCAGAATACGTTGCAATTAAATTAATATTTGGGGTACACCAAAGGGATTATGTTGTAACACTGAAACTTACCCCTAACTTCACAACTTGCTCATTCAGAGATTTCACCCATAATTCTATAAATTCCGGCACAGAATCATAATGGAGATAGAACCAATTTAATCCCGAATTTAACCATCTGGTTGTTTCAGCACCAGTTTCGACTTCCACTGGTGCCCCACTGACCCCTTCCTTCTTTTCCCAGCGTGCCACACGCGGCTGAAGAGGTCCGAAAAATGTCAAAACGGCATTGACTATGAGAACGACTAAAACTGCCCATCCTATCCACCCAAATAGTAAAACATCCAACAAATTGTCGTCCCAATCTGAAAACAACCACGACGTAACTCTATTGCCTCCTTCCGCCATTTTGTCGAAAGTCTCCCCAAGCCGATACCAAATTAACTTTGCAGTGATATCAACCATCGCTGGCCAATCAGAAACGGTAGCATGTAAACTGATCTGTTTTACTTCAGGATTTTGACTCCCATATATTGCCAAGCCAACAGTTTCTTCTGTCTTAATTTTATCTTGTGCATCCTCGCGAAAAGGTTATTTTTGTCCGAGGGGATTCCTTGTTTATTTCACTACGTCACATTTACCAATTAAAATATTTTTAACCAGCTATAAATAACTATTGATTATCAACCGCGCACCTGTTCAGGTAAATTCAGTAACATCAACTCTGATAATCCAAAAATGGTGTAATTATTGTGTTGATCATTAGATTATATATACCGTACCCATAACAGATTCGGGTTTTTTATGATTTGTTTGAAATTTGAATTGAATAAAAGGAGATGTACAACCAGGTACATTGTATATATATTTGAAAAAGAACAAACATCTTCTATTACACAGGTATCTTTACAAGATGCCACTGACTTCTTATTAAACTGCTCTTAGACTTAAAAAGATGTGAATCATAAGTAACACAGACTTTATAAGATTTCAGTGTCATTCAAAACAGAACCCCCTAGATATGAAGGTAAAAATGAAAAAAAGTAAAATATTAAAAAAAAAGAACAAACAAGAAAAACAATCATGGTATAATAAAAGACGACCAAAATATGCGCCACGAAAGCTCTTTCCAAATTTCCAAAATTTATTTATTAGCAGAAACCTAAGTTGCTGTCAACTGTGAAAATATAAAACATATGACTTTTAGCAGACAAAAATAACTTGTTTCAGGGAGGGACAAATCATATCTTATAAAAATCACCATCATTCTCTGATTCATACAAAAAGTTTTATGAAAGTGAAATCACCAAGATACTCGATTTTAGTTGTTGACAACATATCAATTACGGTTTGCGAAAACATGTTTCTCAACAGACAATCGGCTTTCATATGGGAACACACTGACCTCCTCTCAGTCTTGCCGATTTGTTTATTTGTTCGCATGAAAAAGACTTCACATATATATATATATATTTATCCTGCAATCAGCCAAGTATTGTACAAATAACAGGTACACAAATAAATTTTTGCTTTATTTGTAATTGTACTTGTACAAATAAAGTCTCCTGTTACCCTCTTCGTGTTGAGCAAGCGGTAATGTGGATATTTCTTTTTGCGTACCAGTTCATTTTGGGGTCCTCTTCGCGGTCCGCGTTTAAACTATGTCGATTTCTTTGAAAAATTGAGACAATGATTTAGATTTTAACAACTAAAGTTTCAAGTGTTAGGTGTAAATTTCAGGATAAAAACAATATATGTACATTGTCGGAAAATATAAAATTTATTTGTACTCGCTGCGAAACAGGAGAAAAGCTCGGCGTGCCTCGCTTTTCGTCCTATTTCTAAAGCTTATACAAATAAATTTTATATTTTCCGACAATGTACATATATTGTATATATATACATGTATATTGCTATACAGTTATTAACGCTTACGGTATATGAATATGTATGACTACGTCATGTTTTCCTATACGGTTTTATATGATGTCTTTACACTAAATCCATAATGACATTAGATGTGTACTGATTGATATTTTGTCTTGGATACATAATTTGTTTATAAGTTGTTATAAGCTTTAAGTAGCTTTCAGAAACTGCGGGTACGACACTTTGTATCTAAAATTTTAAGTGTTTTTGTTAGTTGTTTTTGTGTTATTACTCGATCTGATGAATCGAGCTTTCTTCAATTTATTTGTATATTTTGTTTTTATGCTGTGCTGTTACACCAATATCCCAGGTTTAGGGGGGGGGGGGGGGATGACTGCATCAACATATTTAATTTCGCCACATTATGTATGCACCTGTCTCAAGCCTAGATCCTATTAGTCGGTGGTTATCATTTGTTGCTGTATACCTTATTTGTTTTTCTTTTATTGTTTTGTTCATAAATCAGGCCATTATAGTTTCTCGTTTAAATTGTTTTACATTTGTCATGTCGGGGCCATTCTATAGCTTACTATACGGTATGGGTTTTGCTCATTCTAGAAGACCGTACGGTTATCCATAGTTTCCATAACTTCTACGTCATTTGGTCTCTTTGTGGAAAGTTGTCTCATTGGCAATCATATCACATCTACTTATTTTTATATTCATAAAGAGCTTCTCGAAAAATAGCTGGTATTTAACTTCAACTTCCCATTCCACTAGTATACAGATGATGTCTTTACACTGAAAAATTCGAAGATTCGTGACTATGTTGATTACATCTATCCCATTGAACTTACAATAGCAACTGTTACAGTTAAGTGTCTCCTCTACATCTGAAATTATGGTGAATATATAGAAATTGACAAAGAGGATGGGCTGAGAACTCAACTTTACGTCAACAGAAATTATTTCAATGTTTTAAATATTTATTTTCCATGTCTCTTAACAAACAGATCAACATCCCCTACACATGCAGTTTTCAATGCCCAATTGATACAATATTCTAGGCATTTTCTATCATGATTTTCTTCTAAATTTCTTTTGAAAGGTTGGTGTTTACATAGAAGCTATTGAAAAAATGGTTCCAAATGGTAATGTTGAAATTATTCCGTCGAAAAATTTATTGGAGCTATTTTTGTTGACTTTTTAGGAAAACCTGTGTCACAGACGACCACGGATATGTTCCTCTTATACCTTTTCTCGATTGTGCCATCACCGAATGTGACTTTAAAAGTCTTTGTTGGGTGTCTGTTTGTCTTATGGTTTGTGGATATGACTGAGTTTTTATGTTGTTTTGCTTACCAACCTTTGTTTAAAAGACCATTACACAAAATCAGTACATGCACAGTAAAAAAACACACACAAAGCAAAGGAACAGCGCTTTTATTGCTGTTCTTCATCTCAAAGTCACAGTGAGACCTTCAACACGAATAAATAAAAAAATCTCACCTCACTGCAAGTTTAAGACGGCCCCTTGTTTGTATATATATATATATGAACTGTGTAGTTTGTTTTGTTAGACTGTCGCGACTTGTGTATAGTTGCTTTCATTTTGCATTGCCCTATGCATATTCGACTTCTAATCATTCTCCCAACTTTTTGCGATTGATTTTTAGTGACGGCATGCAGGGATAAACTTTAAACCGCATGATATAACATAATGAATAAACATAACTCCGCCATATCCAGAGCTGACTATACGTTTGAGTCACATATGGCAGAACTTTTGAAAAGCCTATGCATATTTATAGATTTCATGTTACTTAAACGATTGATAGAATAATCGGTATTTGATTTCGATATCTGATGCCAGTTTGTGAGGGAACCATTCGGCTCGGGCCAGTAGTCATATTTACATCATTTAATTAGTACATTTTGTTTCCAAAATTTCTATTTACGAATAATGTAATTGTGAACTAACGTTGCAGCTCAATTAGGCTTTTCAAACATTAATCCTGAGTAAGGTCATTCCAGAAACGCTTTGTCATCCGCACCGAAATCGGTCTGGTATGGTTATATTGTCGTATCCACAACGACTGACCACTCGACTGATAATACTTTCACGATAGGGAACTGACAGTTCAATCTAACTCAAACATTTACTTCATGTAAATAAACAAATGACGTGAATATTTTTGACTTTACTAAATTTAGCACATCTGACTAAGATGTTTTAACAAACTTTTCACCAGAATGAGTTGATATCAGATGATGTTTTACGAATATTCAGACTGAAACGCTACAAAGTTCAATGGTTTTCGTTGGTTCATGTCTGTTATAATTGTTTTTCATAAATTGTTTTTTTATAAATTAGGCCGTTAGTGTTTCTCATTGTTCATTTCGGGGCCTTTAATAGCCGACTATACGGTTTGGGGTTTCTCATTGTTAAAGGCCGTAAAGTGGCCTATAATTGCTTACCTCCACTTCATTTGAACTCTGGTGGATAGTTGTTTTCTCATTGGCAATCATACCACATCTCTTTATTTTCAAATGTCTTAGAATTTTTATTTTTTTACAAGTAACTGAGAATATTAATCTATTTCATCATCCGACTCATTATATTTTAAGTGTAATTTGCAAATTTCCTCATTGTTTCAACAATCTTTGAGTCTTAAATGATCATTACATTTTGTGAAAACCAAAATAAGATAATACAAGAGACAATTAAAACAGAAGTCGAAAGAGGCCTTTTAAATATTCGACTTTGAGCGTTCCTGATGAAGTTAAATCCAGAAAAAGCGCTTCGTACGCATGAAATATACAGAGAATAGGTATCTGTTCCGCCTAACAGAAGTTCTGCTGGATACGTTGTAATAAACAATGACATAATATATGTTCCTGTTGGAACAAATGTTTTATACCCTTCATTTCGTTAGAATCAAATACTGTAGTATTTGTCCTAGTGGAACTAATATTACAGAATATTTCTGATGTTCGGAACTTATATTATGTTCGGAACTTCTATTTCATCACAAAGTAATGCTTCGTGAAGGAAATATACTAGTAAATAAGAATCATAAGCCGTAGAATTCTATTTTAACTTGAATATGAATTTCTTTCTGCAGGTGTTGCAGGGAATATTGCTAGATATAACACTTAAAAATTATCAACTAGGAAATACAAGTAATTTTGTAAGGTTAGTTCTTAAACTAACTTCACTGTCGATGTCTAGATGAAAGTTAGGGTATGAATACGAAGCTGTTTCTAAGGTAATACCAACCAGTATGACCATGCATTCCATCATTTCTTTAAAATGTCAGGATTATAGAGAAAATCCATCATCCAACAAATAACCCCATATTGAGTGCAGCATATCGCATACAACGAGAAATATTTTGGATACGAGAATTGGGAACAGCTATTTCTTACAGGTGCAGCGTCAAAATTGATGATGTAGATAGTTTGTCTAGTCCAAGATGTAGTGATATCAACGAATTGGAATTATTTAACACGGTCATCGAAAATAAATACACCACCTGCAGTTCACCACGTGTCTATGGATGATCCTCTATTCAAAAACATTTAGGTATTCACTTTATTCGAAGTAAACTTTCAATAATTACGGACATTGGTAACCGCTGATTAAACCCGTGAGAGCTACGAAGTTTTTCTTTAAAACTATCCACTACACTTGTCATTTCATATACTTACACCAAACTTATTGCATCCCAGAGTTTCAACCACAAGTATGTAAA